TGCAGAAAAACTGTAAGGAATGAGATTAACATCTGTGATCTGGCTGACATTTCCTCATTTCTGAAGGACTGTTATTAGCCCTCAGACTGATGTGTTTTTTCCCCTCTCCCCCCTTGCTATTTTAGCCTTCCGTATAAGTCCTTTTTTGGAGGTGTATCTGCTTTGACTCCAGAGCACTACATGAAGATGAACGGGTTTCCAAACACATACTGGGGTGATGGTGGTGAAACTGATGACATCGCAGCAAGGTACTGATTCACAAGACAAGCTTAAAGTAGAACCAGGCTTTCTAGTGAAACACAGAGCATTACTGCAAGAGAGGAACTAAAAGACTCCATTCCTTAACATGCTTGCAGTAGCACTGTAATCCAGATGCTGTTGACAGTGGGCATGATTGCTGTCAGAAAATGCTCAGAATCTATGACTAATTGTTGTGTGCTGGGAGAACAAAGCTTTCTTCAGATACTGGAGGACAATGTGGTACTTTGCATCCTTGTGCCTGCACTCACGCTGGAGCACTTCCAAGGGGTTATAACCAGCAGTAGTTGACATGCTGTGACTCCACTGACATTAACAGCCCCAAGGAAGAGAATCTGTAAACTTGATAAAAAGAAAATCAAGAAGCATTTATTAATTCCCACACAGTTCTGAATTTACTTTAGGTAGGCACATTGGTTGCTCCAAATGCTACCTAGTCATTAATACTCAGAATTCAGTTACTAATGGCAGTTTAACCTGCATAGCCTGTTCCTTCATTCCAACTTCTGCCCTCAGTGCTGAGTGATGGAGAAGTCTGTGAACTAGTGTGAGTGACAGCAGAAGCTGACAGTATTTTTTTTTCTTGTATGTTGGTTGCTATGGCAGCAGCATTCTATAGAAGTGAACACAATGAATTTAGTTTCAGGTACTCTGCCTAATGCAGATTCTTCAAGTACAAAATCACAGCTGTGTCTTTATTCACCTTTGTAGTTGCACTGTGTACCATCCTGCACTGAGGCAAGCTAATAGGGTAGTTAAAAAAGCTAAAACGTTTTTTGGTCTTGCACAGCATTATGGTTATGGTGAAATGTTCTGGTTTAAAAGCTGCTAGAGTCCTCAACAGCAGTATTCTTCTGGGAATTGAAATCAGGTTAACACAGAAATCCTTCTCTGCCTTTCAGAGCAAGCTAGCTAAAATAGTACATAGGTTGCTCTGAAAGTAATGCCTCCTATTTATTTCCCTGGACACTACAACAGTTACAAAGAGCACAGAAATGCTATTTGATAGGGAAAATTCTCAGTTATAAAACACTGTTTTTCAACATAGTACCACCATTACCTATGCATTTTTATTTTTTTTTTGCTGGTGAAGAACAAGAGCCTGTGTGCTGCGCAGTGGAGGTGATGCACTCTTTCATGTTTGTTGTGATGGTGCTGTTACTAGGAAAATGTTGCCCAGATAGTCCATTTCTCATTGACCAAAACAGGGAAATCAAAAGTTGCTGAATCTGGACTATGTGATGGGTGTGATAGGACAGTCCAGGCAAGACTGGCAATGTGCACAATGGTCTTTGAATGGTATGGGGCCTGGCATTATTGTGGTGCAAAAGAACAAGGTGTTCTTCTCTGGCCTGACTCTGGATGCTCAAGCCTTCAGCTTAGTCAGTATTCTGATGTAGCAGTCAGAGCTGATGGTTTCTCTTAGTTCCAGGAAATCTGAAAAGATTATCCCCTTTCCTATCCCAAAAGAACCTTTGCCTGCTGAGGACTGTGTCTTATGTTTCTTTGATGGCAAATTCACCCGTCACCACTCTGGGTTGCTGTTTTGATTCTGGCTTGTAGTGGTGACACCACATCGAGTCACTGGTAATGATGTGATGACAGGAAACTGTCACCTTCAGCCTTAGATTGGTTCAGTATGTCCTCTCAAGCTTGTGTATGGTGTTCCTCCGTAAGACCCACCTGGTGCAAATCTTGTGAAATTCAAATGCAACAAGCTGCCTTGTGTAAAATTGAAATACATATTAGGATGTCATTACTGTCAATGAAATGTTGAAATCATTTTCTATTCCTAGGTAAACAAATATTTTCAGTTCTGTAGCCTCTCCCAGCTTTAGAGCATTCCTGCTTCAGTGCAGCTTGCTGTTGTACCAGGTCACAACAGAAGGCAATCAAATGCTGCAGACATGCCAGTTAGATAACCTAAACTGAGCACAATTTCATTCTTCTGCAAAGAAAATTCCTGTGAATATGAGGGGTCCTCTGTGATAAACAAAGGCTTGCTAGGTCTGACAGTATTACTGTCAATTTCTGTTGGTAAACTAACATAATGCCATCAATCAGTAATTAATTGCTTAAAGTAAGTTATACAAAATACAGTTGTTAGCTGGCAATGACATCTTTATACCTAAGTACACATCTTGTTCTTCATTTTAAAGGATCCAGTTAGCAGGCATGAGAATTGTGCGGACCCCACCGCACCTTGGACGCTACAAAGCGATGGACTACAAGAGAGAGACAGAAGAGCCCTGGAGAAGGTAACTGTACCAGAGAGGGTAGCTCAGACTGCTCCTTGTGGCAGGCTGTTACCTCATCATTCTTAAGAAAGGCAGGAAGTAAACCTCATGCCACTGCTTATTTTTCTGCTTTAATGCTGCTATTTAAAGAAAGCTCCAGTTAGCTTCACTTGAGCTGTGCTGCTCTTGTCTCTGTGTTGGAAGGGTAGATGCATTTCTAGTTTCCTACTTCTTCCTTAGTGAAGTTAAGAATATTTGCTAGCCAGGCAGCTTGCAAGTATCAAACTTCAGCATCAAATTATTCAGGGAAAATGCCATCTCAGTCTATCTTGTAAACCAGAAGGTTTCTGTTTGAAGAGGCTCTTTGTGCAGATTTAGAGTGTGTAATTAAAATAGTAGAAAGCAGTGTTGTAGCTTGAGGAGGTGATTAAGGTTCATGACAGACCTTAGCAAAGACCCACTTTTATTCATAAGCAATGGGGAGAGAGTGTTGGGGCAAGTGTGAAGGCTTCTCATACTGACAACACAGATTTCCCTCCCTCCTCTTAACTGAGGTTTCCATAACAACTCTGTCTTAAACCTACTTATTGCAGTCTGTGTTCGCTCTTGCAAGCCTTGCTGTTGTGCTCCCAGGTCTCTTTGCTTGCTACCAGGTGTTATTTTTTTCAGAATCCACCCCCTCAGTCTCCCTTTCTGATCAGGATCCAGTCTGTGCTGTCCTCTTTGTTTGTAATACTCAGCACAAAGTTCAACCCAACCCTGTTAAGCATTCTCTCCTTCTGGTCTGTAATTATAGGATTTTCTTGGGGCTTTGCTGACAGCTTTCACCTGTTAAACCTTTGCCCTCTAGAATACCATTTCTTCTGCTACCTCTGTTGAAAGCATCAGTTGTTACCATCACTTTTGTTCTTCTCTCTAATGGCAACTGTTCTCCTTTCTTCAGGCCTGCTTCCTACCACAACACTGGAAAAACTTGGAAGGATGATGGGATGAACTCTTTAGAGTTCAAACTCCTTTCCAGAACAAAGCATCCTCTTTATACCAACATTACTGTGGACATTGGATATGTTCCTCCCTTTTCTTAAGATAATGAAAACTAAAGTGGAGTTTGAATTCACTGTGACAGCACAGTTCTGGGTATTCAGCCTCTACCTCTGGCTGTAGTGCAGAGTGTGCAGCACCTGAGACTAATCCTGTTGCCTTTCATACAATGAACTTTTCTTTGGATTATAGGAGACTTTGAAGAAAAGGCTTCAGGAATGAGGCATGATAGCTACACACAGGATCTGGCTTATTGTAAAAGTCCTTTAAAAGCACTGTAAAACTACTGAACCAAATCTACATGTCATCCCTCAGGCTGGAGAGAGGCTGTCTCCTTGACAGTAAATTGACCCAAGTTTTCTGGAACCTTTGTTCCATAAAGGGATGGCTCTGTTCTGCTGCTTACTCAACTGGTAAGTGGGATTCAGGCCGTTCTGTCAGTCCTCTGAAATGCTGTATTTTGAGAGAGAACTTGCTTGGTGTTGAAACTCATTACAGTTCTGTAAATATTCTTTGTGAATTTGTGTCAAGAAAGTTGAGGTGTTTGTTTGGATTAAGATTTTTCTAGAGTATTTAATAAGATTTTAATAAAGGAGAAAGTTGCCCTGAAGTTAGATGAAACTATCTTAAATTCCTGTTCGTCTGGCCCGATTTTGAATGAGTGTGTGAGTTCTTGCTGTAGTCATGAGTAATTCACATCTAAAGAGACCTCAGACTGTCAGCTATGCTCAGCAGATGGAAATTAATCTACCATTTCAGCCATTGCTCACATGTTAATTATCTCTCAAGGTTGATCTGTATTCAATTAAAACACTTCTGAGAAATGAAATACTAGAGGAAAAAATTAAATATGTCAACAGTAGAGCCATGACCCTGACAAGAATGCATCTGTACTTACCTGACAGTGAGGCTGATGGTCTGCCCTACATCTTGCCCTTTGTCATCTATGTCAGTCAATCAGTAGCACTGCCTACAAGCCCCACCTATTTTGCAAGTGTAAGATAGGATTTTTTACCTTGTTACTTGCATATACGAGAGTCAAATTCCTGTTCTCTGTTCACTGAAAAGCTGCATCTATCCCTCTAATACCCAAGAATCTATTAAAGGTTTCATTTTTCTCGACAGTTAGAGTAATGCATGTCAACCAGAGATAGAGGAATTCTATAATATTAGGTTGGTTTTTTTTTTGTTGTGTAATTCTTAATACAGTTTCCAAAAAGAAAATCCCCCAGCTTTGCAGCTGCCTGCAGGGCCTGTGTATCCAACAGGCATGGATAAAGAACAAAGAGGGGCTGCAGGTTTTTCTCCATCTTACACAGTTAGCCTGTGCACTTCCTTCTGGCTCTATCCAGAATAATGTATAACCTGCAGGCTAATGCAGAATTAAATGAGACTTCCATTTTGTTGTATGACACTTGAGTACTCCTCCTACATGGTGAGCTGAGCTTACAAGAGACAGATGCCTTTTGAATTAAGCAGATTATATTTTATTGAGGGATCTTTAACATTTCTCCCCTATTTTCATTATTGCTGTTTCTACCCCAAAAGCAGTTTTTCTTTAGGCTGGAATAAATGAGCTTTTCTCAACAAGTTTATAGATGGTAAAAAATTCTTGTGCTTTTAAGGGGAAAAGACTGGCCTCCTCCTTTTAAAGTCTTGGTAGTGTCACCTCCCTACTTCAAACTGGAAGTTTAGGAATAGCTTTAAGTCTCCTGAAAAAAAATATTTAAGTCCTTCTACTGGACCAGCCCAAACAAGGAAGCTTACATCTCAGCAGAAAGTGCATAGAAGAACACCAGGACCTGCCCATGGGTCAGTTCCACCTCTCCAATCCTCAGAAGATGAGCTTCTCTGGTGACCAATTAGATGCTATGCAGAAAAACATCCTTCTGTGCTGCTGGAGTACTCCTTCAAGCTTCAAGTGTGCTGCAAGTCATCTGCTGTACCACCAACCACAAACAATATCTGCTGCCACTTCCTAAAACCTGTGTGGTGCTCACCCCTTTGAGATCTTTGACTGCATGCTGAAATCTACTGTAATGTTGATGTATAAAGGGTTATGTTCCACTGACAGAAGTCTATAGGAACAGGAATTCAACCCATCCGTTTTCCATGTTCTAGATACCTGGCGCAGAAGCTTCATCCTGAGGACAGAGCAGAGGAGGAAATTGTTACAGCAGCACAAAACCAAACTCCATAAGAGGAGTTCTAAGCTCTCTCTCGTGTCCAATAATCTTAGATAGAGCTATAGCCATTTTGCATCTACGGGGAATGTAAATTCATGCTTTTTTTATCCTCAGCATGGACAGAGGGAAACATTCCTTCAGCACAGCATAGGGAGGGGTGGTTTAAGCCAATTAATCTCTGAAATGATATTCTAAAAATCATAGCCATGTGACTGTAACCCTCAACTACAGGCAGATCTCGTGCACAGAACAGCTGCCAGCATGTGGTGTCACGGTCATGTTTTCCAGAGTGTGGTATCACAAGATTCCCATTTTACCTAGAACAAAGACCTGGGCCACCAGCTGCCTGGCTCCTACCAAGACAGCGTAAGGTGGAACACTGCTCTTACCTCTCTCTGTTCTCCTCATTGCCATGGTCACGGTTGTGGAAGATCATAGTGTACCTGGCTACATCAGCAGATGGCCTCATCACTCGCATCTTCTGCATCTCAACCCTGCAAGAAACAGTTGTGCCATATGCAAGATACCATCTATAAGCCAGCTCTTAAGAAATGACACTGAGACTTCAATTGTTAGGTGCCATGGAAGCGAGCTTATAGAACTGTAGACACAATCATCATTGTCTTCCACACTCTCTTTTACTGCACAAATAGAGCTCAGAGAGTTGGGTTTTTGTACAACAGGTCCAGGAGGTTGACATACCCTTGTTTTTTGAAGAGAAACACATAGCTATTACAGCAGAGATCATGTAGAGGTTGCTTTAAATATATTTTACAACAGAATCCATTTAAATTAGTATCGCCTGGTCTAGTTTTACTTCCATGCATTAACCTAGGAGGTCTGTACAAACACTGCATGTTTTGCAACATGTTTGTTTCAACTAATGTAATAAAGCCCCTACACATAGATCTCCACTAAAAAGAGGAAAGGAACTTGTTTTTCTGTGGTTTGCAAACAGCTCTGCAATTTTGTACTTTTTTTTCTTCATGTGAGTAACCTCTTTATGAAAACAGGGGCCAGAAATGTTAACTTGCATGCATGTATTTTAGTGTCTGGCATCAGGCACCTGATTTGAAATTTTGGCCTTAAACATTATCTGTGGAGCCCAACAATTTTGCTCTGTTAGCAGCAGAAAGGGAATTAAGGAATAGCCCAGGTCTTTGACAGTCATACCAGAAGCTGAGAGAGCAGCAGCAAGAAACCAAGACTGAAGAAGCAAGGCCTGTAGCTTTCCAAAACTGTAGTAGTAAATTATCAAAAACAAGAGATGTGAAAATCTTTCTGATGCTCGCTGTAGGGAGGAGCTAGGAAGAAAGCACAGCATTTAGCATAAAAACTAATCAGTAGAAAGTAGCAGCACTGCAGCCCTCAGTTCTTGAAAATACTGCAGGGGCTGCTGCCATCTGCTGCCTTTGCAGAGGTAGGCTACAATGATCTGTACTACGACCTGCTGAGAAAGGAAGCTTCCCATTCACTACCATTACAAACACTGCAGGCAGCACAGTCCAAGACCTACCCAGGGAGAAAGACATGAGCTAAGACCAACTGCAGTGCACAGTGTCATAGAATTTGGTTTCCATAACAAAGACCACAACATCCAGGAAACTGTCAGGTGCCAGCACAAGCGAACATCACTTTTGACTACAAGCACTTGCAAACACCTCCAAGCTCCACCCGTCTACCGCACACCTAGTTCTGTAATATACACACAAAGAATACCAGCATGTTTGTTTGCTCATTAACTCAAAAAGCTAGGGAGTAAGATGTTACTAACCATCCCCTGCCACTAAAAAAGCCAGCCTCTGAGCTGTCACAGAGAAGTAGGTGCCTCTAGGTAGAGACTAGGGGGTAAGAAGGGAGTTGTTACAGAGACAGAACAGAAATCCATGTCACCAAGTAAAGCTCTTAGATTTCTTGAGACACAGCTGACTGTTCTGCTTAAGTAACAAAAACTTTCATTGGAAGTTCCTAACTTTAAACACACTTGATTTAATCAGTATAATTATTTAACATCACCAGGAGTATGACTTCTACACCTCCAAAATGTTCTGCATATTTAAACAATTGAAAAGGGTAAACATGTAAGGATGACAGAGTATATCCAAGTTACAAACTGACAGTTTGTAAGAGCAAAAGGTACGTGGATATATGCAGAGTCTTTCTAAAATGCAAATTATTCACTGTCTTAACTACAGTCAATACCACCCACAAACTAAGCTCTGCTCAGATAAAGTTAGGGTAGTCAATGAGTGAATTTAAAAAATAAAAAAGCCAAAACCCAAGAACTCCCACTCTCTTGCAAAAGGAGTGGATCTTAGTACATTTGTATCTCAAGCAAACACTATTCCAGACTCTGAATCTTATTTTGGTTACAGCCAATTTCCAAAGTGGAATAAAAATGCTCTGCGGCTGAAACAAAAAACAAAAATCAATGAACAAAAACATACCAGCAATTCTCTCAGGTTGTAGATTTGCCTAATCTTTTTGAAGAGGAAGACATACACAAAACTACTCCAAATCTCCATACAGCAATACTGTTTCAGAGTTCAAGAATTCTGTAGCATTTCACCTTTGAAGTCTAGGTTGAAGTCTCTAAGCTTTTATTTATTTTTTGAACCCAGCTCCTCCCCTTCTCACACCCATTTCCATCTAGCCTTCTTTTTACCTGATTCGAAGGTCGTCATCTTCTCCACCCCAACCCCAATAGTTGTTAGAGAATCCATTCACCTTGGAAAACTGGTCTCTTGTTAGAGCTGTTACACCTCCAAAATATCCCTGGTAACGTAACCTAGAAGTACACAGGAAGAGAAAATGAAGAATTAAAAGGTTGAGTTACACCAACAATGAAAATACCACATAAAACCTCTTGATCTAGACCTGTCTTTCACAGAGTTCACAATGCACGAGTCCATGATGTAGTTCCTGTTCTCTTACACTTTTCACAAAAAGATAATATTCGCTTCAGGCCAGAAGAGCTCTCCAACTGAAAGAATGAAGCTTTCCTATTTAAACAGTTTCCTTATACACCTCCCCTTCCTAATCAAAAAGGCTCTGCTCCTCAAGGACCCTGGTAAGTAGGAAAGGAACAGAGCAAAGCAATATAGCAGATGGAACAAGAGCTGCTTCTTTGAAGTAACGACAGCAAGCCACTGACTACCTTAGAGCTCAATCTTGGATCCTTTAAATGAAAACAGAGCACATGCTACGAGAATTCAGCTCAAGGCAAGAGCAGTTCCAAGGTGAGGTACAGTGCAAGTTGCTTTACAACCTGAATGTCACAGAGCTCAACTCTCAGTGTTCAATTTCTACTGTCCTTGTCCAGGGAACTGTATCTACTTTAAAAAGGTAATTACATACCATGTTTATCTTACCCCATTTTAATAATTACTTTTTTTTATGACACCCTCCACTTTCTTGGTCATTACGATAAGCATTACAAGACAACTTCTGCTAAATTGCCACTGCCAGCCTCAGAGGAGTTGTGCAAGTAGCTGCAGATTGCACTTTGATTCCTAAATGTACATGAATCTAAATAGATGAACAAACTGTGGCAGCACTGGCAAAGGAACAGTGCTTAGCACTATTTCTGGTTTACTATGAATCTGTTAAAAACAAAAAAAGACAGACTTTTTTTCTCGGAGGCTGGCTGACTTCTACTCCCATCACTAAAGCAGCTTCCTACAGGGTAAGTTGCTGAGAACCACATGTTTAAATATACCGGCAGGATCTCTCCTGAGCTGCCACAGCACCAACTCTGTCTCTACTTGTCAGATGCTCCAGTTCCTTAATTTTCTTCATGGCCCTTCTCTGGTCTCACTCTTGTAGTCCACATCTTTATTATATCATTTTTATATACCTGTGGAGGATACCCCCCCCTTAACAGCCCGCATTGCTATCTGCTGTCATTGCCACAAGGACACAGCACTGGCTGATGTTCAACTTTGCAGAAATGGACCTGGGAGGAGGTACTGGTGGGCACAAAGCTGCTTTCCAGACAGTCTCCAGCATGTGCTTCCTCCTCGGGTGCAGGACTTCACATTCCCCTTTGCTGAACTTTTTGAGATCCCTGTGGTGTACTGACTACCCCTCCAAGCTTTGTATCTTCTTTGAACTTGCTGAGGGTGCTTTTTGCCCCACTGTCCAGGCCAACGATGAAGATATCAAGCAGTATCATTCCCCATCTTGGCCTCAGGGTACATACACCACTAGTGACTGACATCCAACTGGAAAGCGAGTATTATTCCGTAGAGACAGAATGTACAAGTTCTCCTTTCTCACGCATTCAGTAAACGAAACACAGAGGTGAAGCAGACCTTTACTTCAAAGCGCTTGCAGTCAGCTTTTGTAAAACCCACTTCTAATTAATATTTAGACTGACATAACATAAGAGGTTAATCTTGAAAGAAAGCCATTCAATGAATGAAACCACTCTAGTCATTAAATTCACCAAGATCAGGAGCCTTTTTTCCCTCTAAGGTGAGCTGAACTTGACTTTTTGATTTTAATTATTTACATCACAGTAGCATTTAAGAAATCAATTTAAAACCAGAACAGTGCTGTATTAGATGCTGTACAGGCAGCCAATTAAATGACAACCCTATTGCTCAGTAGATTCTCATCCTTGTGCAGATCTCAGTATCAGAACTTACCTCTCCAACAACAAAAGGTTAAGTGGCAATTTTTATTAGCGCAATCCTAAGATCATACTGTCAAGCCACAGAACCAAGAGAATGTGATTTCTAGCTTAGACATAAGGTCTGTGGTTTGTTGCTTTCCTCTCACAACACCCCCGGAAACCAGAATGACCATTCTTATGTGTGATCAGAGGGCCAACTTCAGAGATATCTGTGTGAAGATCTTCTGTTACAAAGTGCTCCAGAGAGGTGGAGCATTACCACCAGAAACATGGTGTAAGATAGAAGGAAGCCCTCAAGTACACAGCTTGACAAGAAGAGGGACATTATCAGAAACCTGGCACTTTCAGATCGTTCTTCTTTTCATGGTTTCTTACCTGTATCCAGTACTGTTCCGGCCAACTACAAGGTGCTTTGGTTGTCTGTCACACATGTAAATATTGAAGTCATTCTCTGGCACCAGATCCACATCATGGAAAATGAAACAGTCCCAGTTCTCTTCTTTTAGAGCTTCTAAGTATCCCACATTCAGCAGTTTAGCTCGATTAAATTTGGTGCTGCCAGCCTGTGGAGAGGAACAGAAAAAAAACTCTGAAAAATGTGTCAACAAGAAAATGTGTTAATCAGAACTGTTCCCAGGCTTTTCTTCTAATCACACAGTTGACAAGCACATTTGTGCTCCACAGTCTTTGGATCAATAACTGTACAAAGAACAACTCTATAACATTAGATACAGCATCAGAGCCAGTGATGCAAAGCCTTTCTTAAGCCTCTACATGGGTAAGGACAGGAAAGTCTGCAGCTATGGTGCCATCAGAAGTATGCGTGTTGCCCAATGCAATCCCTATTGCTGCTCCTGCCCTCTTACTCCACTAAGCTACATAGCAGGGGTTATCTGTAAACAATTCATGCAGCTGTGTTACTAAGACTTTTGGAAGCTTAAAAAAAATTAATCCCATAGTTATTGGTTTATACATGTCAGAGCACTCAATACAGGTGATTCATGCTTGTCCCCTTAATTTAGATAATAGCAGTGCTTAAGAAGTTCTAAGAAGTTCTGTATTTCCTTAAGCTACACAGTAGGTGGCAGAATGGGAAATAAAATGTGGGTCTCTTCCTTTTTTTTTTTTTTTTTAACTCCAGCCTTTAACCTAATTATTATGCTGCACAGGGACTCCTCCTAGCACAGAGCTTCACTTTTACTAATCTTCATCATTTGCTTATGCAGCAAAGCAGTGCATCTTCACTTTTCAAAAATATCATTTTTCACCTTTTAGGTACATACATTCAATATATTCACATGGCAGTTTTGTAAGCTGACCACGACCCCACTGATTCTAAAACAACAGGGCTGCTTATATTGCTATTTTTTTTTTTTCTGGACTGTACAGACTAATCTGTCTATAGAACACTTCATACACCTGAGAACTCGGTGTTAAGTTGCCTCTGAAACAGTGGTGAGGCATTGGAACAGGTTGCTCAGAGAAGTGATGGAGTCCCCATCCCTGGAGATAATCAACAAACATGTAGATGTGACACTGTGGGACACAGTTTAGCAGGCATGGTGGGGATGGGCTGATGGTTGGACAAGATGACCTTAGAGGTTTTCTCCAACCTTAATGATTCTGCGACTCTCAGTTGGCACTCAGAATCAAAAGCTATGCATTCTTAGAAAACAAGAGGCCAGTCATTTTCTATCATTGGCAACTTGATGTATTCTTAGAAAAGTCAAAAAGTAACTTTTGAGAGAGAGGGCTCCTTTGCTAGAAGCCATCTGGACAGAAAGAGGTTCCACTGAAAACAGAAGCTCACCTCCCCAAACTGAAGGAAGGTTAGTTGCAGGGAAAAGCAGTTGCATATAAAGTGCGTTTTAACATTCTAGTAAGTAACACTTTGTTGCAAAGGCAATTTGCTCACCATTACCAACAGCCATTTTCTCCTTGCACAAAGGTAAATTATGAGCTTTATGGCTCGCCATAACACCCACTTTGGGAAATACACCCTGTGCTGAGAAATTGAGAGAGGGATCATCAGTTGCCTCCATTTTGAGTCAGGGAAAAAAAATGTACTTTCAAAGATGCAACTAATTCCAAAATCTATGATGTCAAAGTCCTGAGTAGTTTCAAGAGCAGAAGAGTAAAAAGAAACCTATCAGAACACTTTCTCCTAATAATGGAATCATAGATCACTGAGTGAGCAACAGAACAATTCAGATGACTGGTATAGTACATACAGAGAACTTCCCTTGTGCATCAAATCCAGACTAGTTCAGCAGCAACATCTACCACTGGTTGGTTGTGTCTTGGTCACCAGCACAGTCAGCCACCACAGCCCCTCCTGCATAAAGGCAGTCAAACAACAGTGAGACAGCCTTCCAGGAGAGGCCATTTCAGTGCTGACCATATGCTAAACACATAGCAAAGCCTACTCTCGTCTGCTACATTCTCCTACTTACTTTCAACAGAAGAATTCTGATTAAGTGACAAACTTACTTTGCAAAGGATATCACTCACACTTTTGAGATTACAACTTATGTTATTTTCAGTACCACGCTCCTTCATGTATGGAGGCTTGTACAGCAAAATATAATTTCTGAAGTGTTACAAGTAACATTTGGAGAAAAGTAGAATAAGTGATGGTCCTTTTATTTCTCCGAACCAAGCTCTGTTTATTTCATAGTTAAATCCTGGTTTTATCTGTTTCTTTCCCATAAGATACGTAAAGCAACTAAAGACATCACAGAGGGTAAAAACAGATTTGCCATAAAAGAGTGTTTTGGCTAGACTCACCTTCCAGCATTGGGGTGTGCCTACCCACAGTGAAAGACAAGCAAGAGACAACACTCATCCAAGTAAAGCTCTGATAGAGTAAGTCTAGACTCAGCATTGCTGCTCGCATCAGACAAAAGCTTCAGACTTTTCTATTACTTTCTGCTAACATGATAACAGCCTGCCTTCAACCTCATGTATGCTGCTTGCCTGGTGGTAGGTTCAAGGGGAGCAAGGCTCTGGAGGATCATGAGGCCAGAGCTGCTGGATCCACCAGCTGCTGGCCAATGGGATGTGTGTGGAAGGACATCTGTAGCACTGTATGATAGGTGACGTGTGCCACCAAGCAGTGACCCAGGAGGACTCGAGGCCTTACTGCATGTCTGCTCCAAGACAAGCGCAGTATCCTCATCCAGCTTAACATCTCCCCACCCAGCCTTGCTAATTGCTGAAGTGATTCAGGAGTTGAACTTGACGATCCTTACAGGTCCCTTCCAACTCAGGATATTCTATGATTCTACAATTTTAATAAATGAAGAAAGTATGCCCTTTCTCCTAATTGTTTTCCACACTTCTTGTGAACTGTAGCCACTCTTGGTACAACTGCAGTATGCACTAATGCAGAAAAAAACTCACTTCCACTCTAAAGGCAGCCACATGACAACTCTAAATAATTAAGGAATTAAGTAAATTCCTACTAAAAGTAGATCCTGCCATACCATCAAGCAAAAACATAAGCTTTCACCTGGAATGGACTTGAGTCCATCCTCTTTAAATAGAGAAGAAGGTAAACGATATTAATTTATCCCTCCCCTCTCTTTTGTTTCCTGCTGCCTGCAAAATCTGTTTAGAATCAAAGTAGATACTAAATACAATTAAAAAGAAATCAAGAAGACAACAACACATTACAAAAGAGAAATCTGTATTGCTTTTAGCTAATGTGATGAGAACATAAGCACGTAAACAAAAGTCCATTTGACACAAGTCTGTACGCTCAGATTTTAGCCACTGACTCTGCAAAGCTTAAAAGAATACTAAATAGGAAATTACTCAGTCTTTCAGGAACTGAACACTCTGCCATGACTGTTTCTTCCCACAAGCAAAGCACATATAAGTAGTAACTGGTGTGTTTAGTTTGAAACAGAAGTACAACTGCATGATATGTGCTGCTTGCTAACCATGACAACCAGTAAGCAGATGGGAGAGAAGAACTAGATACAAACAGCTCTGGGTTTAAAGACAGAAAGCACGTCAGCCTAGCTGCATGCATGACAGTTGGACCAGTACTGCAAGATGCTTACCTTGAATACTAACTGAAACAGTAAGCTTAGACTAAGAAATGAACACTAGCTAGACACTGCTTCTTAATATTTCCCTGCTTTTTTAACAGCAGCTGAGATTCTGTGATGCTACAAGCAATGGCTGCAAGCTGCCACTGTGTCTGTCAACAAGCAGAAGCATGCCAAGCAGGCTCAGGAGTGGTGCTAGATGGTGGAAGTGGCAGCACTCAGCTCTAAGCATCACCAAGTAAAGACATCCCTCCCACCCTCTGCAAAGCTGCCCCACCTGGTGGATAACGTAGATGCCATATTCCAGCTGCTGCCTCTGCAGGAATGGGTGCAGGTGCTCCAGGAGGTACAACAGATGCCTCTCACGGTTACGGTGTGGGATGAGGATGGCCACACGCTGCAATGCTGAACACTCTGCAGGGTGATATCGGCCCTCGGCCACCTGAGGGTTCTCCTTTTGTACTTCTTCTAGTGTGAGAGATGGACTGAAGGTCAGTTTGCTGGCACCTCCTGTAGGAAAAGTACAATAAGCTTTCCTAATTTGTTTCTGGTTGTGGCTATAGTCCAGTCTCTATACTCTATAAACAGCGTAAGAAACCCAGATTTAAGCCACAGTTTCCCTGGCTGTCCAAGAGATAGTACAAAAAAATATTACATGAGCAGAAGAAAGAGACTGTATTGAGTGTTTAGTTAAACTGATGACAGTAGTGATTAAAAAGCATACATAAATACCAAGACAGGTTTCATCCTGCTGCAGGAGAACTGGCCAGAAACAGCCACCAGGACAAAGCAGAGGAGAAGAGCAAAGTGGAAAGAGACACAGGACTGTGCTTTTGAGAAGTCTTAAAGCTACTTAAAGCATGAACAAAAGTATCACAGGCTTAATACTACAAATATATAAGAAAACATACAAAGGCTCTCTGTAACCAAATTAAATTATCATCACTTCTCTTGTAATGAGCCCCTCCAGACTCAGCAAAGCACTGAAAGAAGTAGGTAAGCTCCACTCCAGTTCTGCAGAGCTGCAGCACTGCACAGCTGTAAGCAGTGAAGAGAACTGTCTGCACACTTTTAAATAGCTGCTCAGCAGCCCAGAGTAATGCCTAATACATAGATATTAGGTTGTTGCAGTATTTTTACGGCATCATCCATTGTCTTTGTACTCTCTCAGCATCGCTCCAGAAAATATCAAATCTAACTTGCAAGCAGGAACATCCTCTCCTTCATCTTATCATTAGAGCAATAGGATAGAGAGGTTTGCTTAGAACACGTGCCAGGCGATGACGGAGATAAATACTATCAGTGCACAAAAGGGCTGTAGTGCTGTGAGTTATCAGCATTAACATGGCTCACACAGCTGGGTTTCCAATCCCTTCAGGCTAAAAGTGCCTATTTGATCAAGATTCCTTATGCTAAAAGCTATATTCTGACATTCTCCCACAGAAAAGAGCAATGCCCTGTACATCTCCACACTTCATAACCTCAGCTGCATGATATATCCTTGCTGGCTGTGTCCTCTCCCAAGGTCTCACCCACCCTTGGCCTGCTGCTTGCTGCCTTTGTAGGAAAAGGGATGCAATCAAGAATCACAGAATGGCCCAGGTTGGAAGGGACCTCAAGGATCATGAATCTTCAACCCCCCGCCACAGGCAGGGCCACCAAACTCCCCATTTAGTACTAGACCAGGTTGTTTTAGCACTGCTCAGCACTAGCCAGAAGTGTTTTCAGTGCCATTCTGGCTGCAAATGCAATGCTCAGCACCATAGTAGCAGCCAGCCCAGCCAGACACAGCACAGTCACTCAGTGCCACGAGCCACCCACCCAAAAGCACTTACTGTAACTGGTATGGTTGTATTTGTTCCACAGAAAAGCATGTTGTTAAACAGCTGCTTACTGGCTGTTTTAGCTGTAAAACAGCTAATAGGAAAGCAAGCAGACCATACCAAAGAGGATGTAACTTGTTAGAAGGGAGAGGAAATCCACGTCACTTACGCAGGTATGGAGACAGAGCTGGACAGGGACCCTGAGGTGGCTTTGTTGCAGGAACTTCTTCAGTTAACTTCATCTTTTCTTCCTTCTGACTGTCCTCTTCCTCTTCCAGGCTGATGATTTTTCCAAAATGCTCCCCCACACTCTTAAGTTTAGGAATTGTCTGTCCAGAATCCACAAAGTAACTGAACGCAGCCCATAGCACCATCAAACACAAAGTGACAAGCAGGAGCACTTTGAACTTACTGAAGAAGTGAAATACATACAAGCTTAAGGCCATTGCTCCCCTGATCAGCAAAATACTTCCTCCCCCAAATCCCACAGTGGGTCCCCTGCTGTGCACTCAGTAGGGAAGAAGCCAAAGGTCCCAGGAAGGTTACAGTAAAGAAGGGAAGCTGAAGTAGGGAGGGCAGCTGTGCTTCTTGTGGTTCTGTGATTCATGGAATTGCAGTGCTGATTGTTCTTTGAGTATCAGAAAACATGACTTAACCTGAACCAAAGAGAAGAAAAAAAAAAAAGAGGAGTGTTAATTTCTATTGCCTTCCATTGTTGTACCTTTGAACTTCATGAAAAGAGCTTATGTCAAGACAGGGAGTGATATCAGAAATACAAGCCAAATATGAAAGCACCAAAATATGGAAGGAACAGCAAATAAGTACAAAGTGATTAAAAACTGAGCTTTGGTCCAAGCTCAGCCACAACCAGCTGCATGACCTCAGATAAATCACCCATCTGTGCTGCTCCCCACTCCTACTCTGTCTGGTTTTTATTGTTTGTTTGTGTGTGTTTATTATTTTAAGATCAGAAAGTGCTACAGCTACCCTATGTTATGTCTGTGTGCAGTTCTTGGCAGTACATAGGTTTTATTCTATTTTTACCAAAACTAACAGCAGCTGCAAGGCAGGGGATGCTGCTGGCTATGAATAAAGCTATCTTCCACCACCAAAATAATAAACACAAGATCACTCTCTTTTGGAAGAAAACAGTTAAATTCTTCAGAGATATCATCCGTGTTACGCTGCCATACACAATGCAGCATGAAAAACAAAATACTTAATCAGCACCAAAAAACCTTCCTCCATATCTGCTGCCTGATAGCATCACTTTCTTTCTGCATCTTCACCCAGAATTTAACACGTATGTCCTTCTCCTTTAGTAGTGAAGGGGGAAGGGTTTTAAACTAAAAGGGAAATTTAGGTGAGACGTTAGGAGAAAACTCTTTACTCAGAGAGCAGTGTGGTACTGGCACAGCTGCCCAAAGAGCTGTGGGTGCCTCATCCCTGGAGGCATTCAAGGCCAGGCTGGATGGGGCCCTGGGCAGCCTGAGCTGATGGAGGGCAGCCCTGCCAACAGCAGGGGGTAGATATGGATGGGCTTTAAGGTTCCTTCCAACCTAAGCCATCCTATAATAAGAAAGGAACCAGACAAGAAAATCCTCCTGCTTTTCAAGGGAAAGGTTTGGTTTTTCAGCATTTGATTTGTGAGGATCTAACTCTGCTAAATTTGTGAGGATCTTTATTCTGCTTCCTCACCTTTTTAAGAACTTGGTTTTTATACAGGCTTTCATTGCCATCTTACTATAAAGTTACAATGCTAATACTTATACCCAGTGGAACACAGCAGAGAAAAAACGAAATTTTAGTAAAAGAGCACCTTGATACGGAAAACACGAGGAAACTGCCATGTGTAAAAAGAACAAAGACTGAGTATAAATGAAGCAAAGGCACTGATGAAAGCCAAAGCACATGAATCAGGCTGGATCACAACAGTAGCACAAAAAAACAGGGTTATCTTGCACTAGCTCTCAGAATACATAAGAACCCCTAGAGATATACCACAGGCAGAAGGAATACAGTAATACTACATATTCCTACTAGTTTAACTCTGATATTTTCTGGAAGAGTTTGCTCATCTCCACAGATCACAGAACCCCAGCATATCCCAAGTTGGAAGGGACCCACAAGGATCATCAAGTCCAACCACCGGGTCCGCATAGAAGCGCCCAAAATTCAAACCCAATGTCCAAGATGTACATGGGAGCCAAACTTGGATGAGATGAATTGCACTACACATTGCCTGAGCTTCTCAGTTTGCTGGGAACTGACAGACAGTGCAGTGCCCAGGAGGCAAGACACTTAACGGCAAACCTCCTCTCTCTGTGCATCATACATTCTGCATCAGAGCTGTTCAGTGAATCCTTGCTACAGAATTACTTAGCACAGGTCCCACACATACCTAGAAGAGCACTGCATTCACTGCAGCAGCTACCCCAACATACCTTGCTCCAGCAAACTATCAATCTTCCTTTCACCACAGCCTTGGGCCAAGCAGCATTCAGCCATAATGTAGCCTACTATTAAAAACACAGGCAGAAAACACTAGTTGTAACTCAGAATCGTAACAAAAGCCTCAAAGGAAACCCACCACATTCTGCAGCATGCTTTCTGGCAACACACTCCAGGCTCTGGATGACACTGACCCTGACAGAGAACACAGGAGTTGCTCAGCACCAACCCACCCAGCAGCCCACCTCTCCTTCTCATACCTGCCCAGTGCCTTTGCTATCTATGGCACAGGGTACAACACATTCTGAGAGGTAGCACCACTGTTGCAAATCCAATGTGTGTGTCTCCAGTGATCCTGAAGCACCCTTTCAATACACAGCGCTTATTCTGCCCTGATAGTTCAGACCATTTGAAAGCCAAAGCCTAAAACAGACCCTTCCCTCCACTAAGATTACTATAATCACAGTGCCAGGAACCTGCAAATATAGACTCTTGAAAACAAACAAACACTGTGGTAGATCTGGAGGTCTGACTGTTTTTCTTCTGCCTCTACGAAGCTGAGAGGTAACATTTTGGGAGTACCCCACCACATCTGAAGAAGAGAGTGTTCGTTTTCCAGCAAGCACAATATTCCATTTCAGCCTGGAAAAATCAGTAAGAAAGCAGTTGCTGCTTTACAGTTAAGGAAAAAAAAACAAAGTTTTTTAAGGGCTCAAACAAAACATGGATTAAAATTGGTTAAAAAGCTCCCTAAGAGCCTCGACTCAATCAATTTATTTAACAGATATTTGGGAAAATACTCCCTAACCAGAGAATGAGCTGCAGATAGAACTACTATATATCAAACACCACAGGGAAAAAGTAGTAGACAGGAAAGGAACAGCTGACTGGAATGAAAGTAATAGGAAAACTACAGGAAAAGAATGGAAGACAAAGATGCTGAGACTTGCAAAGAACTTACTTTATTTCAGTAATGAGATTTACTTCCTATATCTTACTAAGCCTTGCTGGCAGATGCGCTATAATAAAATAAGCTGTAGCCATGAAGCTCTGAAAGGTGACAGCAGAAATACTATATCCACACACATTAAGTAATTCCAGTTTCAAGGCTGACTAATGAGCAGAAAAACAGTAACATTTGTTTTCAAGCACTGCTCACTGAAACACCAGTGCATTTCTTTCACCCAATCATCATTTCCTAATTAGCTTTCATTAGCTGCCACATCAGAGACAGACTGCTGCATGGCAGAAGTGATTCTGAACCGTAGCTTCACTCTGATTTCAGCTTGATCATTTCAATCTGCACCACTGCAGTGACTGTGGAAGTAACAGCTCCTTACCCTGCTGTCCTGTCCCACTGTGTGTCACCACTGGAACAACAGGGGTGGAAATAAAAGGAAGATTGTCCACCTCTGGACTTGTAATATAGTTGGCTTGTACTCAACTATATGTGGGAAAATCAGTGATAAGCAGTACGACTGACATGACAACAGTGCATGCTGAACTCCATAACCAACAGTTATTGACCAAAACTTTGTATCTTGCTCATCTCAACACTGCCTGCAAGTTTCCAGGTGATGCTGATTTACTGCCTTTCACAACCCTGCTTTTCCAGTGCACCATTTAGTAGCTGGAACACTCCCAAGGCAGTAACTTCTGTAAATCAAAAGTATCACCCCATAAAGCGTGTCTGCAAGGGAGGATGTTCTCCTCCCATGACCAACCCAAATACATTCTAGACCAACATGAGCTCAAAAGGATATCAAATCAGATACTGAAATTAACATGCAGAAGTGACTCTACCAATAGATAGACTAAAAAAAAATATCTATGGAAAAAAATATCACAATGGAAGAAAAGAAAGTATCAGGAGGCAATCAGTAGCATAAGCCAGAACACTCTGCTGAAGCCCCACTCTTTTCAATACCAGGAATAGCATGTAGATGAAAAATGAAAATAAACCCCCAACTGTAATGCACCAAGCTTATTTCTATCCTCCTCCTCTACCATTCAGCTAGGTGGAAGCTCACACGTACCAATTTTCTTTGTCAGCTGTATGAGTTTCCTTCACAAGCAGACATTATGAAAATTCACAATACCTAACCAACATTCAAACTGTACTGTATCAACGTGAGTTACTCTGTATGATAACTAAAATCACATCTTACTGTGCTCCATGGCATCAACCAGTCATTGTTCTTGCTTAAAATACGCTTGAGCACTTCTGCAGTGGCATACATATGCATGCACAATTACAAACAATTAGTCAGCTTCAGCTCATCACAACACATGCAGAAGGGCACCGTTCCCGTTTCATAAACTTACAAGTTGGTATTCTGATGTTTTCTGTGGAGACATCATATTCATTTCAAAGTGTGGCAAGCACGGAGATACTGTATTTTATACAGAAAAACTACCTGTGAACCAGTTAGCCACCCTTCCTTATATTACTATTTCAACAACTAGGTTTTGGGTTCATTTTTTCCCCGAGACATGAGAGTGGTGCAGACAGACATGGCTGAGTTTACTGGCAGAGAACACTATCCTCAAGAAGGAAAGGTAACTGAGAAACACAGCATTTTTATGACACCCACTGGAGACACAGATGACCGTAAATTCAAATAAAAGGACAAGCAAGAAGTTGGGTAATAAAACATTGTCCTTCAGAGAAATGTAAGTAAAATTTAATCACTGCCTCTCCAGTGTATATTGTTTTATATTTTGCACTATGGGCTTTTCACATTTGATTCTATTTACTGAAATAGTGCTTGCTTTGAAAAAGCAATCTTTCACCAGCAAACCTTATAGACTGGTGTGCCTGGGTTGCTGAGTACAGCAGCCAATCCAGCCTTGAGAACACAGGAGGTTTTTGTAAGAAAAAGTTAGTCCAGTGTTAAAAGGCCATGTACAGAGAAAGTGGTATGAAAGCCCAAAGCTGTAACAGCCATCAATGGGATAGCCTTAATAAAAAAAGCTACCTCTGACCTTCATTAAAGGAGCCCAGAAACTTTCAGAGGAACCTGAAGTGCAACTCTCCTCTTGTGAAATAGCATCTTTCAGCGAAGCAGAACCAAACTTAGCTGAGAGCGTTACAGCTGACTACAGGTGCACAGCACTGCAAGACACAAGGTTAAAAAGCATTCAGAGTAACACCCATTTCAAAGCCCACTAAAAAAAAAAAATAACTAATAACACAGTTATCAGAGATCAGCCAGGATTCCAAATAGGACTGAACAATGAACAAGGTCTCTGACACACTCAGAGCTAGACAGACACCAAGAAAATAACTATATCCCCAGTCATCCTAATGCCAAAGCTAAAAGCAGAAGTGAGTAAGCAGAGCAACCTTCTTACCCAAGACTGCCGAGAAGTAATTAAATCCTTTACAGCTGACAAGCTAGAAAAATCAATGTACAGCATCAGCTTCTCTATGCAAAACAGATCAAGTCCTCATGTTTTTAAGAGCATAAAGCCGCTCCTTTCGCAGGCATCTCTTTCATTTTAGCAGCTGAGCTTTTCAGTTTGGCTTTAAGCTAATAGATTTTAACACTTCTTTTATACAGTACTTGTTTAATCCTATTCCTCTTCTTCTTGAGGAAGCACTGACAGCTCTGAATAATGGTAAAGTCATGGGCTATTTTTCCCCACTGCACACGCAGCCCTCAGTCAAACACCTATTCCACAGTTATCCATTTTCCAAGACTTCAAGCCAAAGGAAGCAAGCACATTAAACACTCACTGTTTCAGCTGCTGCCACATCTCTCCTTCCTGTAGAGCAGTCACAGCTAGAAGTATGGAGAGCCCTGAGCAAGAGGCAGGCGCTTTCCAGCCAGGAAACCCCACACCATAAAGAGACCTCTGTTACCTTTCACATGCTGCAGGAAAGAGCGAGCTCAAAACTCACAGAATGACTTTAAAAAACAAAAAGCCAACACATCCAGCTTGTCCCTGGCTGTACAGAGGCCCCACAGTGCTGCCACACAGGCCCCTCCCTCCACTCACATGTCAGGAAGGGAAGGCAGGCAGCCTCTCTGCTGGCCCCAAGGCATGGCAGAACCAGTATGGGGGGGTACTCAGGCACATCTGAACTGAGCAGCAGGCCAGGAACAGTGCTGCAATATAAATAACTACCATAATAAAATAGTCGTATCAAAAACTATGGCTCAAGCCTTTGCTCCTAAAAGCACACCATGATTTCTATCAGAGCCTTTCTGGTACCTGTTTTATTTGGAGATTTTTGGAGTCAGAGATGCTATCTTTCTTGGACAGGTCAAGCTGCCTGTCCTTTTGATTATACCCATGGAGATGAGCAGGCATACCCTATCCTCTTATTATCCTCTTCTAGCAGATTCAATAGGGCAAAAGTGACAGTGGCATCTCTTCACCATCACAGCACTAGAGCTGTGTTGGCCAAGTGATGCTTTTCCACACTGTTGCTGGGACAAGTTCTGCCACTGGGCTCCCCAGCAGCCATACATAAAGCAGGCAAACACTTCCTTCAGTGGAATTGCACACCCTGTGTGAGGGTGTGACTTTCTCACACCCATAGAGAACATACTGATGAGGCTTAAGTCACACTGGGTACACAGCTGGGATTAACTGCATTCGAGGTGGGGAGAGAAAGGACAAACGTAATCCAAACCTGCATGCACTCTTTGTGCAACCCTGTTTCAATCAAGTACACGTTTAACAGCTTTGCCAGTAACCCTTCTCTATGCCACAAATATTTATTGTTAGGACTACACAAGAATTTTTGGGAAAATCTTGTTTCAGTCATCTAGTATAGAAAATATACTTTTAGTATTGCAGTGCAGTAATACTAAAGTAATATAGTAATACTATCAGCTGTTACAGCCTCACCTTCCTCTCTGCTCCACAGAGCAGAGTGTAGAGCTAATCCCCAAACTGTACTTTCTTTGCATCACCACTGACACACACAGATGAAGGGTTTGCCAGATCAGGAGGCCAGCAGTATTTCCAACACTCTTCTTCTGTGACCCTCCAACAAGCCTTCCCACAACAAAGGTCAGAAGGCAGTTTTCTATTAAATGGGAACAGTTACTTTAGGAGGATCATTATAAACAAACAAATGATTAACAAAGGAGTACCAAAATGGTACTATAAACGGTAACTGACCATGAACTTCCTCACACTAGTGTTATACCTGAAATCCAGCCTGTGAAAGGGTGCTTCAGCAATAAACATAGCATATGCCAACACAGGCTTCTAATACCTGCACTTCATTTTACTTATGGTATCTCTTACTCTCTGATAGTCAGGAAAACACATACAGAAAAAAACAGAATACATGAAATTTATGATTTCATCAATTCAAACATTCCCACTCTAAAATGGAACAAAGATCACGGTGTCATAAAACATCTGCTAGTTTAGCTTCCTGTAACTGAAAGTATCTGAATGCTAAAAGTTAGCTACAGAAGTTAATGCTAAATGCCCTCATTACTTCAGCAAACAAAGGCAAACATCCAAACATCCACATACCTCATTTTGTTATAGCAGTTTCACCTTGGGTTCAACCATGATAGGTTCCCCAATGGCCAGCACAACTACCATGGATACACTGTACATGATTTCAGTTCATCAGGGCTTTGAATTAAGGGATCAGGCACCACAAGGTACAGAAAGCAGAACTCAAGAAAGCAGTCTTGAAAGTGTCCACCCGCCTGACATTGCTACTCACCCACCGACTTCTCTCCATGTTCTCATTCTACTACTATTGCAGAAAGCTCTGATTACTAACATATGAAAAGCTTGTGGGTCAAATAAGGACAGGAAGGTCACTTACCAAGTAATGTAGCAGGTAAACCAGACTTCACTTAGAGAAAATTAATTTATTGCCAGTTAAAAATAGAGTAGAATGGTGAGAAACTATGAGAAAAAAAAAAACATCTTCCCCACATCCCCTTCTTCTAAGGCTCAACTTCACTCCTTCAATTCCAGCTCCTACAGCTCCCCTCCACCAGCAGCACAGGGAGAAGGGCTGCGATCAGTCTGTGGCAGTTCCTCACTGCTGCTCCTTCCTCACACTTTTTCCTGTTCTTGGCTAGGTTCTTCCCATGGACAGCAGCCTTCAGGATGAATCTGCTTATGCACAGCTCTCCACAGGCTGCAGCTCCTTCAGGAAGCATCCACCAGCTCCACTGTGGGATCCTTCACACGTTGTAGTGGTGTTTGGGGCTGGTCTTCTCCATCAGATGCTGGGACACAGCCACAGCTCCACCAGGCTCTCCTCCTCCACATGCTGCAGGGCAATCTTTGCTCTGGCAGCTGGAACAACTCCTCTCACTCCTTCACTGCCACTGCTGCCTCTTGCCTCATTCCTTTCTCTCACAACTGCCATGCAGCATTTTGCCCTTCCTTAAATGTCTTCCCAGAGTGTCTGACTAACTCACCTTTGCTCCAGCAACAGATCTGTGTCAGAGCCAGCCACAGCAGGTATACAGCTATACTAGTACAGTTTTATCAGTTGAGTCAATCTGCCTCAGGTTAACTGAGGTTTTTTTGCCTGTTCATCTATAGTCACAGCTACACGGCATAACTGTCCTGCCATCTCTACACCAACCTATCTTCGGGCAGACAAACCTGAAGCAACAATTTCAATGATGCACAAGAAATGTCAATTCACACTTCCATTGAATTTAGCCTCAATAGGCGTCCCGGCTTCAGCATCGTTCTTGCTTTAGTTCTTTACCTCTTCTTAAATATTATAAAGTGGATATACAGTTGCTTCCAATGTTTCAATGATCCAGTGAGAAGCAAATTTTTTTTTTATGGTTCCTTAAAAAAAGAGAGGCC